AGAACAAAAAAAGGAAATCATTTGAAAATTTGAAAAAGTGAGTACACTGAAGGAGAATAAAATAAAGTGAAGGAAGTAAAAGAGAGTTTGAAATAATTTACATACAAGTAAAAAATATAGTAAAAAATTAAATATTTTTAATAAAAATTGAAAATAAAAATGAATTTTTTTCTCTTTCTGTATTCAAGAAAAAGAAGTGAAAAAGAGAAAAAAAAAGAAAATTGAATAGGTGGACCTGCTAACAGATTGAAATACGACTGAAATTGCTTTGCTTTCCCCTAGAATTCAGACTATGAAGTACTTTATAGTCCAGAAACTGAGCAGGTCGTGAGACTTGTGTTCCTGAAGAGTGAGGTGGGCCCAGTTGGGCAGGGCTTAGTGTAATGGCTCTGTTCTCCACTAGATGGCGCTGCTAGCCTACTGAGGTGGATTGTTGTGATGCCGTAGGTGCATTTGCGCAGGCGTGGGAGCAGTGAAAATGGCGTCACCCAGCTACCCAGTCTCTAGTATCGGAACTCTGTTCTCCCGGATCAGCAATCACGCACCTGTCCTCTGTCTTCAACTTTTGTCCACTCCTCACTTTTTCAGTGTCCATGACCAAGTCCCAGGCAGTACCTGTGTCCCGAATTTTGTCTCAGATGTGGCTGTTTTCCCCTTACTTCTGAAGGACTGCGGCTTTGACCCGTTCTGCCCCTCTGTGGGAGGGTCTCACTGAACAATGGCTGAATGCCAGCTGCACTCAGGAACGCTAGCTTGCTGGACCCTGTTGCTGCCGGTGACCTGAGACTGTGGCCAGGTGCCAGCCTGCCTCAGGAAAAGTTTGCAAGATAGTGTAGCAGCAGCGTTTCAGGGATTATGGGAAATCACAACACACATCTGGCACCAGGCTTCACCCTTAACGACCGTGTTCCAGCACCAGCAAATGTGGCCATTCTCTGGGGTCCGCTGGGCCCAGGTTGCCTCGCAGCCTCTACCAAATGTCCTTCCAGCAGTGGAACCACTTCTCCCCGCGTGGCCTGTGAACCTGCCAGACCCCACTCTGTTCCTAGGGATTCACTGTTCCCACCAGAGCACCTCCAGGTATGGAGCTGCGGAGTTGCAGACTCTGTGCTCCCCTTGTTTACGGTCTTAATGGAATTTAAACCCTCTGCTTTCTCCTTTGTTAGTTTAGTCCCTGCGGCTGTTTCCACTTTTCCACTTTCTGTCCAGCTGCTTTTGGGGAGGGGTGCTTTTCCTGTATCCCCCCTCCCCCTCCCCCTGTCTCTGTCCTCTCTTTGCCCACAAAAGCAGCTCCCTGCCCACCGGGACTTCTCATTCCCCAAGTTCACCTCTCCACGCTGCATACCTGCTGAATTCTGTGGTTCAGGTTGTGCAGATTGTTGTGTTAATCCTCCAATCAGTTTTCTAGGTGTGCAGGATGGTTTAGTGTTGGTCTGGCTGTATTTCATGGGTGTGAGACACACACAAAACTTCCATGCTTTTCTGCCATCATCTCTATTTTTAGTTTTTAAAGGAACCTCATACTGTTCTCTATATTGGCTGCATCAACTTACATTCGTAGCAACAGTGCATAAGAATTCCCATTTCTCTACATCCTGCCCAGCATTGTTTTAATCTCTTGTCTTTTTGATGATCATCATTCTAACAGGTTGAGGTAGTATCTCACGACTTTGATTTGCATCTCCCAGGTGATGAGTGATGTTGAGTACCTTTTAATATACCTGTTGGCCATTGGTATATTTTCTTTGGAAAAATGCCTATTCAAATCCTTTGCCCATTTTTTTAAATGGATTATTTGTTTTTTTGTGTGTATTTTTGCTATTGTGTTGTATAATTTTTTAATATATTTTTGATATTTACCTCTAACCATATATCTATCTATCTATCTATCTATCTATCTATCTATCTATCTATCTATGGTTTGGAAATATTTCTCAGTCTGCAGGTTGTCTTTTCATCTTGTTGATGGTTTCCTTTGCTGTACAAAACATTTTTAATTTGATGTAGTCCCACTTGTTTGTTTTTTGTTTGGTTGTTTGTGCTTTAGATATCATGTCAAAAAAGTCACTGCCAAGAGTAGGGTTTTTTATTAAGTTTATTTATTTATTTTGAGAGAGAGACTGTGTGTGTGAGCTGGGGAGGAGTAGATAGGCAGAGAGAGAGGGAGAAAGAGTATTCCAAGCAGGCTCCGTGCTGTTAGCACAGAGCCCAACATGAGGCTCGAACTCACTAATGATATCGATTTCTGAGCCAAAACCAAGGGTTGGATGCTTAACCGACTGAACCACCTGGGCGCCCTATGGTTTCTGGTGTTACATGTAAATATCTTTAATCCATTATGAGTTAATTTTTGTGAGTGGTGTAAGGTAGAAGTCTAGTTTCATTTTTTTCCATGGGACTATGCAATTTTCCCACCACAATTAAAAAAAAAATGTTTGTTATTTTGAGAGACAGGGGCAGAGAGAGAGGGAGACAACGAACCCCAAGCACTCTCCACACTGTCAGCCTGAAGTCCCACATGGGTCTCAATCCCACAAACTTCCAGATCACAAGCTGAGCCAAAATCAAGGGTCGGACACTCATTCCTTTGAGCCACCCAGATGCCCCCCAGCCCCATTTTTTGAAGATAATGTCTTTTCTCCATTGAGTATTCTTGGCTCCTTCGTCAAACATGCTTGGGTGTGAGGGCTGTTCTTGAGGCCACCACGGTGGCTATCCCTGTGGCACCCTGGAATTGGTTTCAGGCCTCTGTATTCAGAGGGACTCAGGGAAAAGGGGTGCTGCTTATACTTATTGGGAACACTGTGGACTTGGAGGAAGACGTTCTCCCTGCAGTTGGTATGAACCAGTATCAGGGCTGTGTCTGAGAGGCTGGACTCCATGGCTGAAGAGGGAATCAACTGTGCCCATGCTAGGCTGGAGAAGAGTTTCTGGAAGACTGGGGATCTGTATTACCCATAACACTGGCGAGGCAGCTGAACTGGGAGATGATGGTCTAAGGGCCCTTAGCCCTGTCCTTAGGACCCACCTCACTGTTTGTTCTAGAGCAGTATTGCCAAGGTTAGAAAAACCACCATTTCTGTATATTTCTGGTGAATATGTAACATACTATTACCTCTTTGCAGAGGAATTAGTTCCTGTATGTTTTTTTTAATTTTATTTTTTAATTAAAAAAATGTTTATCAATTGTGAGAGAGTGAGAGAGCATGAACATGTGTTTTATAATTTTTTAATTTTTAAAAATGTTTTACCAATTTTGAGAGAGTGAAAGAGCATGCACGTGCACACATGCAGGGGAGGAACAGAGAGAGAGAGAGTCCCAAGCAGGCTCCACGCTGTCATTGAAGAGCCTGACACAGGGCTCGATCTCACGAACCATGAGAACGTGATCTGAGCTGAAATCAAGAGTCTGATGCTTAACTGACTGAGCCACCCAGACACCCGATGACTAGGTAATTTTAAATGCTGGATAGAAAGGTCAAGTGCAGCCCTAAGTAATGCAGTTGACAAAAGTGTCACCTGTCACACAAGAAAAAGTATATGGTTAGTTCTATATTTTAAAACTTTAGGTTTTTAAGTCCAATATTCCAACACTGATTTGACTTTGATGCTCAGGAAGGGGATGGAACGTACAGATGGAGCCTCACGTCTAGGGTTTGGGACCATCTGTGGACCTGGAACACCTTTTATTTTGTAGGCATTGTTTTCTGCACAGTCTGGACAGAAGTCAGTCACCATGAAGGCGGGGGAGTGGGAAGCTCTGCAGTGTAGTGAACAGACTAGGAAGACCACAGATTCTTTTCTTTTCCAATGAAGAGCAACACAGGTATTGAGAGAGAAAGGATGCTACTGTCTAATCGGACCTCCTTGCTAGGGGTCGTGCCACACATGCTTCGTTGTTCACTGGCTGTGGACATAGCAGCTTCTCACAGACTACTAGGGTTTTCCACAAAAGACTCGTGTGAGGTTAACCGGGGAGAGGACAGCTAGACTGGCAACAGTGCCAGGGCACTCAGCTTCCCTAATCAAGATCCACATCGACACACGCATGTCTCTGCGGTGGAAACGACTGCCAATTACGGAGTTAAGACCTTATCTGCCTTTTGCCCCTTTTCCATATTAATAAGATTTGGAGATTCTTTTCAGGAAAGTGTCTGTAACTTTTGTTTAAGGGACAGAATGACACTGGCAGACATTTCAGGCCATTTATCCATGAACTCTGTCTTCCCCTTGACCATCTTAATGCCTCCTACCTACCAAACCTGGCAAGAGAGACCATCTGACTCCAGGCTGTTTGTAGTCCTCCCCTGAAAGGAAACATTTTGTATGTAAGTTGATGGCACCGCTCTCCACACGTTTTCCTCGGGAGCTCCACAGTCCAGGCAACTGTGGCACCTAGTCCTCCACAGTAATGTTTCGGGAAAAGGTAGGCCATGGACTCCCCATTGTGGATTCTCCGAATTGCTTCAGAAAGAATCAGACTGATATCCGCAGTCTCTATCTTGGGACACTGCGGCTTCTGCATGCCATGAGGGACAGTATTCGTCACTACCACCTCATCAATGGAGGACTCCTCACTCAGGCAGGGTCCTCTGCAGACAGGATGCCTTCAGTGGCCATGACATAGATCTTGTAAACCCTCTCTCTTTCAGTGTCTCCGCAGAAGCAACACATCTTCCTGCATCATCCATAATGTCATCCACCATGTAGTGTGCCCACCATCATCTCTGACTACAGTTATCGGCGGCTTGTCTTTGGCCATCATCAGCGGCAACTCCAGACCTGGGTGGACAGTAGCATTTTTGACTACTGGGGGAGAATGACGACCTTCATCCATGTCCCGCTCTGTACCCTGGGCTTCTGCGTGGATTACAGCTAACCCCAGATGGAGTCTCTCAGCATATGACTGGGCAGCATCAGGAGACTTTGCTACAATGACTGCATTCCTGTAATTCAGAATTTCTTCCTGGTTATACTGCAACACAAAGGGTGAGGCTCTAAGGTTGTACATGGGAAAGCTGCAAACGCCTTGTATTTACTTTTGATGAAGATCTTTGGTGATCATGTGAGTTAAACCTGCTTTTGCCAGAATGTTCGCCAAGAATTTACACACAATGGAATGAACCCCTCTTCCTCACCTTGCTCTGCTTGCTCTAGGGGAAATAAGGGATGACTCTAGTAATGTTCCTGGCACGGGCTGTCTTCAGTGCCTAAGCCATGCTCAGTAACTCCATCACAGCTATATTCACATCTCTGGTTCTTGTCTGTATAATGAAAATATCTTGGCCATGAATAGATTCTTTTATTTCAAGTCTTGCTTCTCCATTGGTCTCTTGATAGACCACAGATTTCCCCAGTTCAGCACCAAGATGCCCAAGGGCACCTAGGACTGGGGCAGAACTTACATTCACTGCGACCTGGCCTTGTAGCCACCTCAGAGCCAGTAGGACCTGTCTATGGAAATGAAGGACATGCATCTATTCCTGGAAGGGAAATTGTTTTTTTTTTTTTTTTTT